TAGATGCAAAAATTTTTTGAAAATTTTAACATTTTTGATTAAAAAAAAACCTCTCAGAAAAACAGGACTAGTGGGGAATTTCCTCAACTTGATAAAGTGAATCTATAAAAATCCTAAACCTAACATCAAACTTAATGGTGAAAGACTGTACGCTTTCCCCCTAAAGCTGGGAACAAGGCAAGTATGTCAGCTCTCACCACTCTTATTTAGTATAGTTTTGTAAATTCTAGTCAGTGTAACAAAGCAAGAAAAGGAAATAAAAGGCATCCAGATTGGAAATGAAGAAATTTATCTGTCCTTATATGCAGATGACATAATTGTCTCTGTAGAAAATCCCAAGGAATCAACAAAAAGGAATCCCTCCCCAAAACAAATGAACAAATCTCAATTCCTAGAACAATTAAGTGAATCCAGCATAAAATTGAATTATTTTTCTGTATATGAGTAATGAACATGTGGACACTGAAATTAAAAGTACAATACCATTTACAATTGCTTAAATAAAAAATAGGTAGAAATCTAACAAAACATATATAAGACTTGTATTCCACAGACTACAAAATACTGAATAAAAAAGTCAGAGATCTAAATAAAGATACATATCATGTTCATGGTTTGGAAGACTCAGCATAGTAAAGATGTCAGTTCTCTCTGAATGAAATGTTTAATGCCATTCCTATTAAAATTCTAGTAAAATTTTTATAGATATAGATACGATTATCCTAAAATTTATATGGAAAGGCAAGGGAACTATTTTGAAAGAGAGGAATAAAGTGGGAGGAATCATTACCCAGTATTAAGACTAATTATAAAACAATAGTAATCAAGATTGTTTGGTATTCATGGAGAGTTAGACACATAGATCAATGGAATAGAATAGAGAACTCAATAAGAGACCTATACAAATACTTGCAGCTGATTTTGACCCAAGTACAAAAGCAATTCAATACAGGAAGGATAGGCTTTATAAAAAATGGTCCTGGAGCAATTGGACATCCAGAAACAACAAAATAAATCTTGCCTAAACCTCATAACTTATACAAAATTTAACTCAAAATTGATCATGGACTTAAATGTAAAATGCAAAATTATAAACCTCTTAGGAAAAACATAGGAGAAAACTCAATTTGGGATCTAGGGCTAGGCAAAGAGTTCTTAAGGGGGACACCAAAGGCACAATTCATAAAAGGAAACTTGATAAATCAGACTGGATAAAAATTTTAAACTTTTGCTTTGTGGAAGACCTTGTTAAGAGGATAAAAGAAAAGCTACAGATTAGGAGAACATACTTGCAAAGCACAGATCTGACAAAGAACTAGTACCTAGAATATATTAAGACTCTCAAAACTCAACAGTAAAAGAACAAATAATCCAATTATTTAGTCAAAAGACATAAGGAGACATTTTAAAACCAAAGAGGATGTACGTATGCAAATGAACACATGAAAAGATGTTCAACATCATTACCCATTAGGGAAATGCAAATTAAAAGTAGAATGAGATATAACACACCTTTAAGAATGGCTGAAAAAATACATATGATAATACCAAATGCTGATGAGGATGCAAAGAAACTGGATCACTGATACATTGCTGATAAGAATGTAAAATGGCACAGCCTCTCTGGAAAACAGTTTGGCCATTTCTGTCTATGCAATTATTGTTACGTTTTTATAACATCAATAGCTAGTGCCTATAAGAGCTTCCACAGCTGACTCATCCTTCTTTTGATTGACTTGTTCTTTTTAAAAATAGCAGTTGGGCTTCCCTGCTGGCGCAGTGGTTGAGAGTCCACCTGCCGCTGCAGGGGACACGGGTTCGTGCCCCGGTCCGGGAAGATCCCACATGCCGCAGAGCGGCTGGGCCCGTGAGCCATGGCCGCTGAGCCTGCGCGTCCGGAGCCCGTGCTCCACAACGGCACACAACAGTGAGAGGCCCGCGTACCGCAAAAAAAAAAAAAAAAAGCAGTGACTTTCAATGAAGCTATGGTCAAATCCACAAGCCTGGGAGCCATCTTGTCTCTGACGCATTTGGGTATCTTTTACTCTTGTGCGTTGATTTTAAGCCATGCTATTGCCCATTATTTCTAAGTTCTTGGATGAACATCATTACAACTTTGAAATTTTGACAACTTTAAAAAATAGCTGTCACTGTTTTTCTCCAGGACATTGACTTTGAACCCATTTAGGACTCCTGTTGAGGTTTCCCATGACTTTCCCTGAGTAATATTGGGAAAAAGCCAAAGTTGATTCTCAGTTTCTCACCTCTGCATCCTGTGCTCCAGCTGTGAAGCCAAAGGGAATGCATTGTTGGGCAAGAATGCACCTGTAACGTGAAGTATTTCTGGACACCCCACTGTGTTCTCAGCCTCACACCGAGTGAAGAGAACTTGCTCCATGTGATTAGACAAGTGGAGTGTGGCACAGAGAACTACAGTTCCTCTGTGGTGTATTAGAGTGTCTGGGTCCAGAGGGTCCTTCAGGTTTTGCCTGGTCGGCAGACTCCAAATCCAGTAGTGGTTCCAGGGGTTTCTTTGTCCATTGAAGTGCCTACGGAGTGACTTCCTCATGGAACCCACAGTGTCACCTTCATGAGGCAACCTTCCTTGGAATTTAACCAGATGTTGATCAAAACCAAGCCTATAGCATCCAAAGCCCAAAATGAGGCTGCCCTGCCCATTAACAGTGCATTTCTAGCAGGAGGATAGTGGTTTGGAGGCAAGGGAAGGTATTTACTATGTGCTTGCTGCCTGACTGCTTTTCAGCCGTGGCGGTCTGGGCTCTTGCTAATTTGTCTGACTGTCCTCATGTCTTAAGCTAAAGGAGTGAGAAGTACCATGTGCTGGGTTGGAAAGGTCAGCCTTGCCAGAAAGAGCTTCTATCCTTGTTAACATCTTGGTTTCCTTAATCTCTGCTGTTTCTCTTTCTCTGCAATTTTTGTTCACTGGATCTTTGGTTCAGTAATTCTTTTGTTTACTGACATTTGGAAGGTAGAAACAGAAGAAAAAATTTTAAACGTTGAATTCCCACTGTTTGGGGTCTAGCACATGATTTTCTTCCCCCTTCAGATTGGAAGTATTTGGATAAGACTAAATTTTAATTTTTTCTTTAGTAGATTATCCTTGATATTTTATTTTATCATTATTCAAATCCGCTCTAAGTTTGTGTGTATCAAGATTGTTTTGTATTACAGGATTCTTCAGGCACAAGTGGAGCTTATGTAGCCAATTGTATTCAGCGTTCACAATGCACACATAGACAGTCCATCATTTTTGATGATAAAAGCTCCTTAGGATGTGGAGTGGCATAGCTGTTCATAACAGAAAGTTTCAATTGGTGGAAAATAAACTTCATTTTTGAGGCAATAAAACATCAATGACAAAAGCACTAGCAATGCCACAATCCCTTGTAGGATTTTATACTTGAACAGTAATGAAAAGAAAAACAGGAATGAGAACTTGCCCCTCCCGAGAGCTTACTTTTTTTCTCTCTACCTTCCCTGGCCGGAAGCCTCAATTTTTCAATGGTGAGTTTTCAGAAGAGCGTCATTTTGCATTTCCTGGACAATCTATCACACAGTGACTCACAGAGCTGGGGTGTGCAGGGCGGGCACATCGGGTTGCTCTGACTGAGAACAAGATGACATGATGTCATAGTCAGCTCCATGTAATGCGTCATCCACACAAGATCACCAAGCAGCTCTTACCTTGATTCTGAATCTCAGAAGATACTGTGAAATGCTGGAGGGAAAAACCTGTCTTATGGGATTGTCTGCCGCAGGCATAAAATAAAAATCAATTTGATCCTTTGGAGGTACCTCTACTCCCAAAGGATCCCAATGTACTCAGCTCCTGCCCCAGGAGTATTAGTCACACATCTCTGAAACATCTCCTCTGTGCTAGAAAAGGCAGTTCCCTTGGAGGCAGCCCTCTCTGCAACAGGTTTTATTTTGAGTGGGATATTAAATAGTACTTCTAATTAAAATGACAGGGGAAATTGTAGGGAGGCAAAATGTAATTTCCCATGTTGGAATCTGACCAAAACATAGTGGTTAATAATCCTTCTTTTTTAAAGGACTATATGACTTAAGGGGAAAAGAACCCTCTTCATTGCAGAAGACACAGTGTGAGCTCACAGGGACTTGGATAGGATGAAAGGGTCAGAGGAAACAGGTCAGAACAGCTGGAGGAAGGGTGGACAGTACCCAGTAACTAGGAGATCAAATCAACCAGTAGGTTTAAGTGGATGAGAAAGCTATCAGGTCATCATCTGTATGAAAATACGTGTCTGGTGTTTTAGAAATGTTGTTAGAATTGAACTGGCCATCAAATGACAAGGTACAATTTCCTCCTGAAACTCTTGAGTGTCCAACATCTTGAAGAGGGAGGGTGATTGAGAGACCACCTGCTCCATTTTCTGCATTCAGGTTGAATTGTTTAAAAAGCATCTCAGAAAGTTGAGAAGCTACCCTACTTTAAAAAAATATTCCGGGGAAGGAATATCAGAGAACCAAAGGTAACATATCTAAGTTAGAAACCTCAAGTTTCACCTAAAAGTGGGCTCTTCTTTTTCCTCCGTTAGAGGAAATGAAAAGTAGCTCTTCACTGTGTGAAAGCCATTCCCACACTTCAAAGACAGTGTTACACAGCTCTTTTTGCTAAACTCAATAATCCTATTTCCTTAAAAGTTTTTCTAAGTTTTATTTCCCAATTCTGATTCTCTGACGGTTAGAGGGTCTGATACTAAATGGGAGAGCCCTCGAAACCTGCCAGAACTTCACTTATTTAAAGCATTTTAACTATTATTATTTTATATTCATTCGGAAGAATCTACAGAGCCCTTCACTGAGGAGATGGCAGAGAGCTGACGAGCTGACAGGAAAGGAGAGAACCACTGAAATCTTTGAACTGTCTGTATAGCCCACGAACCGGTGACACGTTGTAAACTAACGATGGAAGCCAATGATGTTGTAAAGTAACTTTGATTGAATTGAGCTTCCAGGTGGGGCCTGGCAGAAGGACCTCAGAGCGAGGCATGACGGGAGACTCGTGGGCGCCGTGATTGTCTACTCGTCGGCTGGGAGGTTTCAAGGCGCTGCTCCTGTTTTCCTTGCAGTCCTGGTACCAAGTGGCGGACCTACAGGTACGCTTCCTGGGAGTGGTTAGGGTCCAGTGCCTTCATTCCACTGATTTGGGTTTACAAGGGTGGTGTTCCAGAGGCCATTTCCTCCTTTGCAGCCTGTCTGTGATCCACGTAAGTTGCACTAGGTGGACGGTGCTGTTTGGCTTCAGCTTCTTTCTCTTATGTGTGTGAAGCACTGTGTTAAAGGTAACACCACATGTGAATTTGGCCAATTCTTTTTTTTTTTTTTTTTTGCGGTAAGCGGGCCTCTCACTGTCGCGGCCTCTCCTGTTGCGGAGCACAGGCTCCGGACGCGCAGGCTCAGCGGCCATGGCTCACGGGCCCAGCCGCTCCGCGGTATGTGGGATCTTCCCAGACCGGGGCATCGGCAGGCGGACTCTCAACCACTGCGCCACCAGGGAAGCTCTTGGCCAATTCTTAAACTAATTAAAATAGTAAAGTTATTTGTCTAAATAACATAGAGTCATAGCAAATTAAAAGCCAAATACCACAATATGATAAAATATAATTTTCAGTAACCTTGAACTCACTTCAATTTCTTCTTAGGCTAACCCTGATTCTAAGAAAATATTTTAAAAGCATTCATTCAACAAATACGCTTTGAGACACCCTTTAATACCAAGTACTGTGCTAGGCATCGGATTTGCAATAATAAATAAGACAAAGTTGATTCCTTTCCACAGAGAGATGATAGTCTGCCGGAATACAATCTTCTCATGGATTAAAAACCTCTCCTGGAATTGCAGTTCTTTCAGGATATATAAGGTGCCTGGTGTCTGGCTCTAGTTCCTGGGAGTTTCAGAGCAGGAAATGTCAAAATTAAAAATGCACCAGGTGAAGGCAGGCTTTCAACGTACTGTTTCTAGTTCTCAGAAGAAAAGTGTCGTTTGATCCTTTGTTTCCCTGTGGTAAAGCAGAAGGGAGAAAGGAGAAATGTGGGGTCATGTCCACAGCATAAGTCCCATGATTTTTTTCCCAGAGGGATTCCAGGAGCTTCTCAGTCACTTCAGCTGTCTGTCATCTTCCATCAGATGAACAGCTTCTAACCTGCTTCAGTTTCCCCTCATCTTCCTTCAGATGCACAGGTTAGTTTCATATATTAATTCTCTTACCTACATCTTCTGATTTTTATCAGAATCACCTATGTCTGTGATTTTATAGTGCGGCGTCCGAGACAGTTTACTTATATTTTCAAATAAGTATTTATAATCAAATTGGTTCATTAAAAATTGTACATGTTCATTAAATTGGGAAAACATAGGTATGTAGAAAGAAAAAGTCTATAATCCCACCACCTAAACATATTCACCATTTATATTTTGGTGAACTGTCTCCCAGGCTATGTTTTTTCTTTGTATAACTGTTATTTTAAAATGTGAAATCATAACATATGCACACTTTGTTCCCTTAGACTTTTGACTGAGCATTATATCCTAAGCATTTTCCATAGTATAACATTGCTTCAGAATCCTTGTTTAATTATGTCCTAATATTCCATTGAGTGGAGTCATCTTATTTTAACTGTGTTGTCTCCTACATAGACTTCTAGTTTTTCAAAGTTATAAACAATGCTAAGATGAATTGCTGTGCAGATTATTTTCATCTAAAACTGGGAAGGTATCAGTTTATATCAAAATAACTCATCAAAATCTCTTGAGTAAGACATTGGGTTTTAAAACAGAACTCTAAACTTTCCAAACACCCACTGTGAGCCCCTCTCTGGTCCCCGCTCTCCTGTGTGAGGAGGGGAGTCTTGCTGTTCCTGTTGCTTTCTCCTTTCTCCTGGGAAGAGAACCATGTCCTTTTCCCCATCCAGCCTTGCTTGAATGGAGCCTCCATCAGTCAGGTTTACGAATGAGTAGAGCGTCTTTCTGGAAATGGTTCAATCAGCCCTTGCGTTGCTGCTTCTAAGTAAAGCACAGACTTTGGCAACTGTCTGATAAATTTGCCTCGAGCTTTCTAGAAACAATTTAGGTCTGAGTGATGTCGTTTGGTTGGAGTCAGGGATGCTGTAACTTGCCGATAACTGGGTGTGTTTTTCAGGAGAAGGGGCCAGGCCCTCTCCTTAGCAGACGTATGGAGGAGTGGAGTGGGCCAACTGGCAGGACAGTGGGTGTGGAAGCTCCAGAGATGTGGCCTGGAAGTGGGGTCACAGAGTCCAGGACAAGATTGGTGAGGGCTGGCCAGTAATGGCTCATGAGAAGTCAGCTCGCGGCGTGGCCACCAGTGATGGATTTAGACGCGCTCGTGTGCTTGGTCAAATGTCTGGGTGAGCATGTGAATTGGAAAGGGAGTCTCATGCAGCATATTATTTCTATCTTGGTTGGTATTTCCTAAGATGGACAGTTGGAACATTAAGGATTTTGTGGGCCAATTACATGCTTTTGAGCTATATAATTCCACATAATTCATATGACATATGACATGGAAAGTAAGATATACGTGATTGCTTTAGATAATTTTGCCATTTGATTACGATTTTGTAAGTTTTGAGCTTGAGAGTTTAGGCAACACCCAAGACCATTGAAACATCAATGTTGATGAAACATCACGTGTGTGTGTGTGTGTGTGTGTGTGTGTGTGTGTGTGTGTGTGTGTGTGTGGTGGCGTGTGCTACTCTGGGATGAACACCCAGCAGCAGGCCCTCCTGACAGATTCCTAGAACGAGCCATTGCTACTGCTCTGTGGGCCCAACGTGCCGATGGGTGTGACTCTGCAGACCTGTGCACACCTGTCACTGGAGCTGCCCTGGAGGTATCTGGATTTGGTCAAGGGTGAGGGAGTATTGCTTGGCCCTATGTAAACCATAATATTACCAGTCAAGGCCTCCTAGGAGGAAATGTCTTCTCTTGCCATTTGCATGATTCCTCTCACCCAGGAAGCAGTGGGCAGCAGTTGGGCACCAGAGTAGCTGATTCTCAAATGCCAACCCATTTCAACTCTCTGATTTTTCGGGGATGGTGCTAGGGCCCTGGGAAGGGATGTGGAATGACACCGTGCCAGCCAGGCTGGGCTGCCCCTGGCAGCCTCTGCTGCAGGCAGGGGCGTCACACCACTCACCTGCTCTCTGATCCTGTGGGAAGAAGCTCTCCAGTCCTAATCGTTTTCCACATGCACAGCTGTCGTGCCTCAGAGGGACCAAGAAATAGAAGGGGTTTGAAGAGAGGTGCAGGCAGCTACACGTGTGTATAATTGAAATTTTCTTTGCAGTACTTCTCCCCATAAGGGTTTAATTGCTCACAGATAATTAAACCATATAGAGGTCTTGAGAGCCTTACAAGAGGAGACTAGATAATCCCCAGCAACACACCCACTGTCATTCCTGAGGTATCTTCCCATCCTGGCTCTGTACAGTGGGATAAATGGATGATGCTGTTCTGTCCTGGTGCTGAAGGAATATAAAGAATCTGGGGTATTATTCACGGTGCAAAGTAAGTTCTTATCTTAGAGAAGTGCCCAAAGCTGTAAGGTCCACTCAGTTCAATTTTAGTGGGGAGCTGAGGCACTCTACCAGGTCAAAGGGAGAAGAGCCTTTTCTCCAAGCTGACTTTTCTAGTTTAGCTGCTTACATGAGCCAAACGCACCAGGATTGACTCAACTCCCCTCTTTATTTAGCATATCTAAACCATATAGTTACGCTGGACCTGACATTTTAGTTCTCACCAGACCATTCCCAAATTTACCCTGAAATGCATTCTGTGAAACCCTGAGGAGAAATTTTTTGTTTGTTTCTTTGTTTTTTTACATCTTTATTGGAGTATAATTGCTTTACAATGTTGTGTTACTGCTGTATAACAAAGTGAATAGGCTATACATGTACATATATCCCCATATCCCCTCCCTCTTGTGTCTCCCTCCCACCCTCCCTATCCCACCCCTCTAGGTGGTCACAAAGCACCTAGCTGATCTCCCTGTGCTATGCGGCTGCTTCCCACTAGCTATCTATTTTACATTTGGTAGTGTGTATATGTCCATGCCACTCTCTCACCTCGTCCCAGCTTCCCCTCCCCCCTCCCCATGTCCTCAAGTCCATTCTCTACATCTGCGTCTTTATTCCTGTCCTGCCCTTAGGTTCATCAGAATCATTTTTTTTTTAGATTCCATATATATGTGTTAGCATACGGTATTTGTTTTTCTCTTTCTGACTTACTTCACTCTGTATGACAGACTCTAGGTCCACCCACCTCGCTACAAATAACTCAATTTCGTTTCTTTTTATGGCTGAGTAATATTCCATTGTATATGTGTGCCACATCTTCTTTATCCATTCATCTGTTGATGGATACTTAGGTTGCTTCCATGTCCTGGCTATTGTAAATAGAGCTGCAATGAACATTGTGGTACATGTCTCTTTCTGAATTATGGTTTTCTCAGGGTATATGCCCAGTAATGGGATTGCTGGGTCGTATGGTAGTTCTATTTGTAGTTTTTTAAGGTACCTCCATACTGTTCTCCATAGTGGCTGTGTCAGTTTACATTCCCACCAACAGTGCAAGAGTGTTCCCTTTTCTCCACACCCTCTCCAGCATTTATTGTTTCTCGGTTTTTTGATGATGGCCATTCTGACTGGTGTGAGATGATATCTCATTGTAGTTTTGATTTGCATTTCTCTAATGATTAATGATGTTGAGCATTCTTTCATGGGTTTGTTGGCAATCTGTATATCTTCTTTGGAGAAATATCTGTTTAAGTCTTCTGCCCATTTTTGGATTGGGTTGTTTGTTTATTTTTGGTATTGAACTGCATGAGCTGCTTGTATAGTATGGAGATTAATCCTTTGTCAGTTGCTTCATTTGCAAATATTTTCTCCCATTCTGAGGGTTGTCTTTTTGTCTTGTTTGTAGTTTCCTTTGCTGTGCAAAAGCTTTTAAGTTTCATTAGGTCCCATTTGTTTATTTTTGTTTTTATTTCCATTTCTCTAGGAGGTGGGTCAAAAAGGATCTTGCTGTGATTTATGCCATAGAGTGTTCTGCCTATGTTTTCCTCGAAGAGTTTTATAGTGTCTGGCCTTATATTTAGGTCTTTAATCCATTTTGAATTTATTTTTGTGTATGGTGTTAGGAAGTGTTCTATTTTCATCTTTTACACGTAGCTGTCCAGTTTTCCCAGCACCACTTATTGAAGAGGCTGTCTTTTCTCCACTGTATATTCTTGCCTCCTTTTTCAAAGATAAGGTGACCATATGTGTGTGGGGTTATCTCTGGGCTTTCTATCCTGTTCCATTGATCTATATTTCTGTTTTTGTGCCAGTAGCATACTGTCTTGATTACTGTAGCTTTGTAGTATAGTCTGAAGTCAGGGAGCCTGATTCCTCCATCTCCATTTTTCTTTCTCAAGATTGCTTTGGCTATTCAGGGTCTTTTGTGTTTCCATACAAATTGTGAAATTTTTTGTTCTAGTTCTGTGAAAAATGCACTTGGTAGTTTGATAGGGATTGCATTGAACCTGTAGATTGCTTTTGGTAGTATAGTCATTTTCACAATGTTGATTCTTCGTGTCCAAGAACATGGTATATCTCTCCATCTGTTTGTATCATCTTTGATTTTTTTCATCAGTGTCTTATAGAATTCTGCATACAGGTCCTCTGTCTCGAGGAGAAATTATTGATGGATGGAGTCAGACTGTGGGCTGATGAGGGCCCATGTTAGGATGGGAGAACTTGCCTTGAGGAATGGAGTGAAAATGGGTGATGACTGTGATGTCACAAATCTCACAGAGGAGTAGTTGTTGGTTTTTTACTTGTGCTTTTTGGGTTTATAAGGGAGGAGGAGTGATGTCTAGAAGCAGCAATAGGGAGCAGGAAGAATACCCATGTGTCTTCATGGTGTGTGGGAAGCTAGTGAATGAGCAACCTCCTCTGAAAGGCCTTAGCGGAAGGTGATATCAGCTTACTCAGTGCATATGTGTTGTGCACATACAGTGCCATCATGATCTGGGGAGAGAGGCATGATGCTGTACTGAGATCAGCTCCCTTCTTTTTTTTTTTTTTTTTTACATCTTTATTGGAGTATAATTGCTTTACAGTGGTGTGTTAGTTTCTGCTTTATAACAAAGTGAATCAGTTATACATATACATATGTTCCCA